CAAGTTGAGTCTAAAGTCATCAAAATTGTGACTCCGTTCCAAGTCATGTGACTCAATTCATGTGGTTCACACCACTGGTACATGGCAAATTGAAATAAAATAGTTGTAAAAAGGCATAAAGTCTTCAGTGATTTCCATATCTTAGTTGGTACAGAAGTGGTTAGAATATGAACACCTATTCTTGTGATGGCACACTGTAACTTATTTTCTATCACAGTTGAAGTTCCTGTGTAGAATCTCTGTTTAATGTGTCTGCACTGATATCTAATAAGGCTGTACTGTGTGTAGGTATGGGCCATGGGGATCGCACCTCCACATTCTGTGGCACACCAGAGTTTCTGGCCCCAGAGGTGCTGACCGACAATAACTACACCCGTAGTGTGGACTGGTGGGGGCTGGGGGTCCTCATCTATGAGATGCTGGTGGGAGAGGTCAGTATAAACATGCCAGGTATTTACCAAAATTGAAGAATGGGATTTAGGGCCCCCAGGTACACTGTGGGTTAGTTTGTGGTATTGTTATCAATTGCAAATATGCATCAGAATGACTGAAGTGGTAAGGGCCTTAAACCAACTTCTGTTCTTTGCACTTTGACAGTTGACTGAAATTAAAAGAAAAAAGTGACTAATGTAGATTAGCTAGCTAATTTAAGATGTGACAATACATATGTCACTTTTATCTTTTGGCCTAGCACGTAGCATATCTAAGTTCAGAAAAGGAGGAAGTTGACCGAGGTTTGCTCAACTTGGAGCACAGAGCAAAAAGGGGCGGGACTTAGGAAGGGGCAATTATAGCAAATAAAAACTGATTGTTGTTTTTAAGACAGACTTGAAAAAATTTGTGAACCTGTCCTTTTAATATTCAGGGAGTAGAATAAAGTTTGGTAAGATCTCCCAGTGTTTATCCAGTGTTGAGGACTAATGCAGACAGATTGTGTGGATCTCTTTCAGTCTCCTTTTCCAGGTGATGATGAGGAAGAGGTGTTTGACAGCATCGTCAACGATGACGTCCGCTACCCTCGCTTCCTTTCTCCTGAATCTGTGTCCCTCGTTCAAAAGGTTGGCCTCCTATCAAATGGATCCTCATGATCTCTTTACACAGCAAAATCACTTTCTAGCATTGAAACGTAACACTGCTGATTTCAGTGGACATTTGATGAAAGTACAGCGCTCTAAATGATCTGAGGGTTGTGTGTCTCGTTGTACTGACTCCCCCCCACTGCTCTCACTGTGTTTCAGCTGCTGCAGAAAAATCCTGAGATGAGACTTGGGGGAGGAGAGGAAGACGCCTCACAGATCAAAAGACACAAATTCTTTCAGGTCATTATTGAGCCAGGCACTACTGACCACCTCACACTGTAGGAAGACAAACCGCTGTTTTATTCAACTCTCATTGATGTTTTTTACTCTCAGAACTCGGGTTGCCCTGCAGAGTTCCACTGCCTTCAGGAATTTATTTACATTTCACACTTTTACTGGACAGCTCATATTCATAAATAACAAACTGGGAGTTAGAATATCAACTTTTGTTAACAGTACAGTAAAAGGAAGTGAATATTCACAAGAGTTGTATAGCAAGTTTATTAGCCATGTTGTGTGTGTGCGACCTAAATATTCAACAAAAAGTTAGAATGCTATTTTTGCCTTTAAAGGTTAAATATCCAAAATTCACTGCCACTAGATGTCACATTAGAGCACCAGTATATCAAACTAAAACTAAAACGGCCACTATGACTGACCAGACTCCATTGACAAAATCAGTCATTTTACCTAGCAGACAGTTAGAACATGCTAATCCTTGGGGACAAATTTTCTCGTCTCAGCAGTCCACTAACAGTAGTTGTTTTTGCCACTGACCAGCTCAGATTGTTATTCTCAGTGATTGACAGCATCATGGAAAGCATCCCTACAGAGATAGACCTTTAGTTTATCCAGAAACAGCCGTAATATCACTATCACTCTTCACCAGACTCCATAGACAAAAACTTGAATTTTACCTCGTAGAAGTAGGTGGACTGAAATAAAAGAAAACTCATCAAAACCGTCTTTGTTAGTCTTTCCACTGTTGCAACAGTCACCAGCTCCGATGGTCACATTAAAGATGGCTGCTGCAAAAAAGATGTTATTACATTATGAACAAGTGAAATATATATTTATTGTACACCAGATTGAATAATATTGAATCCATAATGGCAGCTTTTCCCTGTTTGACCATATTTCTGTGTGTAACCTCCCATCGTCTCCTGTTCATTAACAGAGCGTGGACTGGGATGCTCTCCTGGCCAAAAAGGTGAAACCTCCTTTCTTGCCGGTCATCAGGGCGCCAAAGGACGTCAGCAACTTTGACGAGGAGTTCACCCGCCTCAAGCCAGTCCTCACCCTCCCACGAACAACCTGCATCCTCACTGCAGAGCAGCAAGAAATCTTTGCGGATTTTGACTTCTCTTTCATGAGTTGACCAAAAGGGATTTAAGCCTCTGTCCTGCCACGGCGTTGTGACAGGCAGCTATACCGACTTTTATTTGCCTTAACGCTCTGAGAACGCTGAGAAACTAACAGTCCTGCCTTTTTCATGTCCACACAGTTCCACATTCCCATCTCTGTTGCCTGCTTACTGCCACACACTACAAAATCTTTTTAATGTTTTGTCTCTGCCAAATAGATTTTGAATCATTAAGCAGTAATGGTTTAACATTTTACTGTTTACACTCTATATGAAATATGTCACCAGTGCAATAATGGGTTTTGCTTGTGAATTATTTTTTTTACAAATGGACAATGTGCCAGTGATGTTCCAAACATCAGCACTGCCCTCTTATTCAAAGTACTAAATTATAAGTATGTGATCTTAACGAAGAGAATTGAAAGCTTTGAATGTACCGTCTGCTATTTACTATAACCATTATATGTCTGTCTGTTATTAAAGCTGCAGGTCACTTTTATTAAAATAACTTTTTGTCATATTTGCTGAAACTTTCACTATATCCTGACAGTAGTACATGTGACAGATAATCGTGTGAAAAAATCGAGGTTCCTTGGCTCACTTCATAGTGCTCCCTAATTGCCGTCTTTACCAAGCTATCCATCCAGGCCCGAGCAAAAACAACCACGATCAGAGACGAGAAAGATTAGTTGGATTGTTGAGTCTCATTCCGCAGCACTGATATATTGGCAACCTGGGAAATGAGACTCAAGCAATCATCAGGCCTCGTTGTCAACCAGCATCCATCTCTCATCTTTCTCGGCCTCTGATTGGTTGTTTTCGTTCAGGCCCGGTGGATTCTTGCAAATGCCATTAGGAGCACTAGGAGGAGCCAGAGGAACCTGATTGTTTCACAGATTATCTGTCTCATGTACTACTGTCAGGATATAGCGAAAATATGACAAAAGGTAATTTTTATAAAAATAAATATAATGTTATATAATAAAAATAGCCAAATTGTTAATATAATTTCGAATTTGGATTCCTAAAATAATACCATCGTGAAGATGATACTTATATCGAACACACCAGCCTGTATGTTAAGTATAAATTACATGAAGGAAAATATTATTGAATAAATGTATATCTGCTGGACTTGGACCAGGAAACTTTTCATGAAACATTGATTTATTGATGTATACAGTCATTTCAAAGTAGTAAAAAAACATTGCATGACAGTATTGCATATAATTCAGAAGTACACAACATGAATTAAATGTTAATTCATATAAACCAGAGCTCTCACTGACAGTCCAGCTGGAGGCAGTCTGCATTTCATCCACCACCACTGCCGTACATAAAGTTCAACACCATATTTATTGCTGTCTTACAAGGTTACTATTGCACGAGGAAAAGCTGAAATGGTGATACTAAACAATGTATTGCACTCACAGCTCTCTACTAACTCTTAGTTACTGTTCCGCAGTATTCCTCCAGTCACTCCGTTAAAACAGTCGTACAAAACTCTAAAGACAGAATCTGCTTCAAAATTGTTTAAAAATCATGTACAATATAAAATAGCTTGAAATGCTGTCCACGGAAAGTCAAAGCATCCTGTACATCGTGGTTGGATTAAATGCTGGGAACAATACAGTACAGTTTTCACACCATATCTCAAAATATTCATATTTTAATATTAGCAAAAAATGATTGTAATTTGTTGTTCTCTCACTTCAACTAGCAGTTTTTTTTTATAGACAAAAGCTGTTGAAGCAAGTGGACCCTGTAAAACCTCTGTGCAGAATAAATATGACTCAGCAAATACAGCAATGTAGCACATGAAACAAGCACAGAATGAAACTTTCTACACTAAAAATGACAAATGTACCATATTAAAAACCAAACTTGTTAATCAGGGTCTACCTCCAGTGAGTGCAGAGAGAACCCAACCACAGAACTGGATTGTCTACACATGCACCTAAAACAAGTATATTTGAATCAGATGTTTATGCAATATTTATTAAGAGTAAACTTCAGGGTTAATTAACAGTCCATCAGTCAGGTGTACCATGTGTCACTTCAAACAAGTAATTACTACCCACATAAATGATTCAGTGGAGGAGGCAGGAGTGAGGGTCAAGTGGGACGTGGGTGCGTAAACAACTGGGTTTTATGACTAGCATCACTCAGAGCTCTAGTTCCTGTCTTGGGGAAATGGTACATTTGAATGCTTGTAAACAATAGAGCTTTTCCCCGTAGCTATTCTGACATGAAATAGTAGAGTAATCCCAGGTGTCAACAATGAGGGGTCAGCATGCACAACAGCAGCACCCGGACTCTATCTGACCTGAATGGACCAGAACTTTAATTAGTATCATTGTGTTTACCCTACTATTGGCTGCTGTGGAATAGATCTATAGTTAGAATAAAGGCTTCGTAGCTGTTGTCCACGTAGAGGTGGTCACCAGCAGTTAGGTACCTTATTCTGGAGACAACTTTGAGTCTGTTGGCAGCCGCTTGGAGAGAGGAGGGAAGCAGGAAATGTGGACTGCGACAACGCAACAAGACAACACAAGCAAGCAATCCACTGCAGTGCTGAAAGGAGAGATGTTAGAGGGGAATGCTGCAGAGTTATGGCACAACAGCTTCTATAAAGGTAAACTGCACACAAGGATAGTTCATCTCCCCACTTTGTGGTCAAGTGTGTGATCCCCGGATCCAGAAAGCTTGTCCGCGAGTGAAATCCAGTCTATAGTCCGTGAGTGCTTGTCACGTGTTGTTAGACTTGGTCGCTGCCCTCCCTGAAGTACACCTGCTCCCACACCACTGTGCCCCACACACAGAAGAAACCCCAGAGGTTGTGGAAGGTTCCGCGGTCAAAGGGGTTTTCATCGGCGCCGCAGTGTTTGAGGTAGGAGATGCGGTGGCGCGACATGAACTCCCACGTGGTGGTGTTGAGAGAAACCAGGTAGAGGTGGGAGCCGAGCAGGAGCAGCACGATCAGCGAGAGCAGGGCCACCAGCACGGCCACGGCCAGCAGCATGCCATTGGTGCGCAGCCATAGCTGCCAGGTGGGCGCGTAGCTGAAACCTGTCCTGTGGAAACAAGCAGGAGAGAGGCCATTGGTGGAGGCCCGCAGCTGTAGGATAAATCCAGCAGCAGGGATGATTGACAGTGTCGTACTCACCAGGCAATGTGCAGCCCCCACAGCAGCACCAGCAGCTGGACAGCCAGGTACAGCACGAACCAGCGGTGGTTCCTCTCACCCACGCAGTTCTCAATCCAGGGGCAGTGGTGGTCGTAACGCCGGACGCAGTGCTGACACGTCTGGCAGTGCTTTGATCTCATTGGCTGCTGCTTGGAATAAAGATTGTTGTATTTAGAGGAAACATAAATAAGACACTGTTAGATAACTTCAGTTACTTTGGAGAACACAAAATGTAACAAATAAATGCTAAATAATTATAGATGAAGCTAGTATAAAGTCATTCAGTTAACACGTCAATGCACCAATAATAATAATAATGCAATCATATAATATATATTATTTTGAAATGGGTTACCTTTAAGTATATTCTAAAGGTACGATTTTAAAAAGCATTATTGCTACTTTTCATTAAAGGTCATTTTTATATTTTTATATTTTATGAAATGTACCCACTGCAGCTTTAAGTAAAACGATTCCAGTACTTTAAGCATATGTTTACTTAAATGCTGTAATAAATAACTTAACTTAACATTATCTTTAATATTTAATGATTACTCTGCTATTACTCGTGAAGGTGTAACCAATCAGATGGTGTTGTGGGCGGGACACTGAGCAAGACTACAGACTGTGAAAGGCGGCTGCATCAGAGTGAAATGGTGTATTTTGAAATTCATTTATTTGATTTAGAATTGGATAAAAACAAATAAGCCTACCGATAATGGGACAAATGCTAAATATTGAACCTATAATCAGACTATCCCTGAAGAATATGTTTTAACACAGCCAGGTTTGATGTGAGCGAGCCCTGTCCAGTGTTCTGTAAAGCTCATTTTGAGCAGTGGTGTGAATAAAAACACTTCTGTTGCTCATCAGCCTGGAAAAAAAACAAACTGTCATGAGATTTGCGAGGCTGGAGACCTTCACTGAGCCACATGATGTCCCAATGATGTGTGTGTTACAGTGCTATTCTCCTCAGTACTCTGGCTCAGCCATATTAACCATCTGTTAAGTCACAGAACATCCAGGGAGCTGGAAAGATCTCGTATCTGTTCGTGGCTCCATTATCGGACCCAAAAACAAACAAACAAACAGGAATATAGGAGGTGTGAGGAGGAAAAAGCTGCACACGAAGAAAACATGGAAATATGTCTGAGCTTCTCAGAAAACACTGGGATAAGGGCCAGTACAGATAGCTATCAGTAATTATGGAAACCAATAAGATATTTAGAATCCATATATATTTGGAGTAACAATATTCATTTTGAATAAACAGCGGTGCAGTGTAAGTAAGTACATTGGCACAATTTTGACTTTATGCAGATATTGAACTGTTCAATCCACTACATTTATTTGATAGCTTTAGTTACATTGCAGATTCACATCATTAATACAAAATAAAATAATGTATTCATACAGATTCATTTACACAGCAGTTTAAAGCTGCTTTTACCAGTGTGTCACATTGTGACGTGTAACCAATCAGGCAATGAGCGAGAGTACAGACAGAGAGAGCATTTTAAATCACTTTATCTTATCCACCGTCACATTAGAAAAATAACTGTGATGATAATCAGTCTATCCCTAACAGTTGGTTGACAGTGAAGGAGTAATGAGCGTTTCACACAGGGGCTCTGGGGGTTGCATTAAGACTGAAAGTTGATGTTGAGAGTGAAGACCTTTGACAGACTTTGAGATGTGGTTAAAAGCCAGTGTGTCGCAAGCGTATGTGGCTTTACAAGTTCTTTCAGTTTAGGGTGAAATAACGACCTGTGCGTAAACTGAAAATAAATCTTACACAGCGTCACCAAGCATTCCATCTACAGCTAGTGATACCAGCTTCCAATCTCGTGTTTGAACTTTTCATAGTAGGGTTCAACTGGAGTTGGATGTTACAGACATCCAGCCCTGTATGCTGCTGTGCACAGAGCACTGACTGCTCCCGTATCATATGATGTTCAGTGTTCACTTGAGGTGCTACAGGTGTGTAACATAGAGCTGTGCTGCTTAGCAACCCATCTGTTATTCTATACCACTGAGGGAAGTACCCGAGAAGTGTCACATTTCAGCCTCAGAGCTGCCACAGAGAGATGACAAACTACAAACACTGTGTCCACAGACGCTCCATCAATCAATCAATCAATCGATCAATCAATCAATCAATCAATCGCGCAGGCTAAGAAGAAATCTTAACTCAAGGTCTTCTGCTATATCTAATGTTCTTCAGATGGTCCTCTATATATATTTTCTGTATATTATCGGGATTGAAAGCCTCAGAAAAGGCTAGTACGTTTTTTAGTCCAGCTGTTTCCAGGGTTCCTACACATTTCCCCTTCAAGATTCCAGACTTTTCACACTATATTTCACATCCAAGTACAAATTGCTAGAGGTTTGTTATTTAAGTACATGATTTTAGAACCCAACTGTTATATTCTGAGTATGTATGCCATTAAGGTGTCTGTTCGGCCTTGTTTATTGACTGTGTCCATGAAGCTTGCTCCCAATATCCGCCTGGCAATATTATTATTTGACTTTTGACAGTCAAATTGGAGAACTGTCCCGGTCCTTCTTCTTTGTGTATTTTTAGAAACTCAAAATTTTAGAAATTAGAAAACAAAATAGGCGCAATAAGATAGACTCTTTTCTTTTTTCCATACTCATCCAGACCTGGAAGAATTGTCAAAGTCCATACTTTAGCATACTGAGTAGGAATCCTGTTTCCTAGGTCAAGAGTGAACTTTCACACTCAACCACAGCATGTTGAAAGTATGAAATCAAGTACAGAAATCTACCACAAAAATGTTTTTAAAAATAAAAATAACAAAATAACCTACAACAACACACACAGGGATAACTATGCCAACAGAGTTCACACTGTTGCTTCATAAATCACGCCATCTTTTATCTAACTGTGTCAACCCATGTGGAAGTACTTTCGTCCCGAAATAGTGCACAGCGGCGTGCTGACATGGTGGGCAGCTTACCTGCAGCAGGCAGTGGCCACAGCGGCGCTGTCGAAGGGACTTGGTGGTGGGTGGGATCATGTCCTGCTGCTCCTCGGTCACTCCCAGTGTGAACTGGCACAACACAGGAGATAAACTGATCAGAGAGGGAAGCCACTGCCCGTTTTCAGCTTTTTATCATGACCTGTTGTGTGCGTGCTTACATTCCCACAAACACGAAGTAGCACTCCACAATCTAATTTAGATACATACATACACCAGCTCTTTATCAGAGCTGCTATATGCTATGGTAATAGCTAAATCTTTGAATAACAAAGTAGCCAAACATTACTGCACACTGCATGCTCCAAGATACTGTGAGATATATGAACCAACATACACCACTTAATGTTAGATTATCCTCAGAACCCTTAAAGGTCCCGCGTGGAGGATTTAGTGACATCAAGTGGTGTATTTGCATATTTACAACCCCCTCGCCTCACCCTGCTGTTCCAAGCATGACAGAGAAACTACGGTGGCCTTGAAACTGAACATCTCATTCTAAGGTAACAAAAACACTAACGATTCTTATTGTCAGGTCATTGTACACTAATGAAAACACAGCTATGAACAGAGGTGGGAACTGGGTACAAATACATATTTACTGTACAGAAGTACTTTTCCCCCTATGTTTACACACAGATATCTAAACTGTACTCCTTACATTTTTAAAACAGGCTTGTTACTTTATTTTGACTGCATTTGAGGGGAACCCCATCACTGCACGCCTTCCCATTATTAAGACTGTTGCATAACCCACATGACAGACGTAACAAGATGAGGGATGCTTGACGCCTGTTTGAAGTTTCAGTTAGCTGGTAGAAATGTCCTTCAGAGAAACCAAGAGAGTACTTTGAGTACATTTCAGAGCCTGTACTTTTTCACTTTCACTTGAGTAAAGTAGTTGAATCACTACTTCTTTTTTTACACAAGTGTCTGTACTTACCGTTGAGTAAAGAATGTGTGTACTTTTGCCACCCCTGCCTATAAATATTATATTCCATTTCTGGCAGGAGAGCCTCCTTAACATTACACTCTGGACCTTTAAGTGCCTTCCCTGACACACTGACTGCAAAACAGGGATGCATCAAATTCATGCATCACCTGAGCTGCAACACAATACACCTGCAATGCCAGGAGGAAGCAGTGACAGATACTGTTAGCTGAGATCAATAAATGTTCCTCAGGTCAAGGAGCCAGTCTCCTAAAATAATGAAGGAAATAGCTAAACACAACAAATCAGACCATATTTTGTGTTTGGTTGAGAAAATGATTGCAGAGATTCATATCATTTTTGCACCAACTTACACACTGTGCCACATGTTTTTCAACCAGCAACCAGTGGTGGAGAGTACATTTACTCAAGCACTATACTCAAGTACAATTCTGAGTTACTTGTACTTTCATTTTACCTACTTTATACTTCCACTCCACTACATTTCAGAGAGAAACATTCTATGTTTTACTCCTCTACATTCATTAGGTACCTGTAGTTACAGATTTAAAAAAAAATTCAATGCATTGTTATATAGTAAAATAAACCACCCAACAGTATACAAATGAATAAAATGATCTCCATGTTACTGCATCAATAATAATAATCTATAACATAATATATATAATAATGTAAAAACAACTGAATCTATTTAAGCCACATAGAGAGTACTTTTACTTTTGTACTTAAAGTACATTTTCTTGATAATACCTAAACAGTTTTACTTGAGTAATATTTTGAATTCAGGACTTATTCTTGTAACAGAGTATACATTAACTGCTACTTTAACTTCAGTAAAAGATCTAAATACTCCACAACATCTACTTAACTGCCTTTCCACATGTGATAATATAGGCCCCCAGTCCCCGTTAAACCATTAGTGCTGCTTCTTTACCAACCATTCTGACAAAGATCTGTCATATGCTAATGGATAAAAATATACACAAGTTATGAATCACCTGTAAATCGCTGTCATCAGACAAGATGAAGCCAGGGTCCATTAGAGAGACAGCGAAATAGAGCAGCACCGACACCAGCACCAGCAGGACGAAGAGCACAGGCTGGACGAGCTGGCCTGTCTCCTCCTGCTTCCTCAGCTCTTCAACCCAAACACACAGCACACATGCTTTAACATAGATACGTTTTAACTCAATAACCTAGAACCTTCTGACCCTAACTGCTAGCTCCTGCCCAGACAAGGTTAAACACATCATAGTCTAAATGCAAGTCTAGAATAACAGCTTTCTTCCACAGCTAACAGTATATATATGGTTATTGCCATTATACATCAAGAATTATCTTCTCCATTCCACATTTGATGTATTACTTTAAGCCTACAGCTATAAGTCATTATAATGAGAACCTTTCTCAATATTTTGACTTAGTATCTCAAAATAGTGACTTCATTTCTCAGGAAAAAATGACTTAACGTTAGTATCCCAGTCATTATTTTGAGATACAGAATCGTTTTTGTTGTTTGTTCTTTTTTTTTTATCACACTGGCGGAAATGGGCTTCCATAGCTACACATAATTCCTTACCTGTATCATGTAGGAAGAGTATCAACGTTATGACCCATGTCAGAATCACATGAGCTGTTCTGACCAGAAACCCTGAGCCGAAAACATTTTTGAACATGGTCCTAGCATGTTAGAGCATCCATCGCAGCCTTCAGATAGAGCTGGATGTTCACTGACAGGGCAGCCGCTGACAGCACAGGCAGTCAGTGTGCGCTGTTAGCTACTAGCTAACGATAAATGATATCCAAAAACAAGCCACTGATGTTGACGTCCTGTCAGAGAGCAAGCTACCGTTAATGTCGTCAGAGAATTAACGGTTCCAGTGCGACCGTCTGCGCTCGCCCGCGGCGCTCGCGTTGTTTGTTTCGCGCGACTGAGCCGAACATTGAATTAAATATAAGTCGAAAAAAATAATATTTCATTTAAGCGTATTTTTATAGGAGTCAGTGAGTATGCTGAATAAAATACCACGGTAATAACGCAATACAAACCGTCCGCTCCGTTTTAATGGACTATATTTTGTTGTCGTCCCCCGCACAGTCTCCGATGTGATTGGCCAGCGTCTGTCACGAGACAATCGAGGATAGGGCGGCCGGCAGGGACAATAAAAGCGCGAGGAACATCCCGAGATGAGATGAGCATACTGTAGTATGGAAGTCCATTTCTGCCAATGTGACGGGAAACAAAAGGTTCCGCAAGTCATTAACATGAGAAACTCTCAAAATATTGACTTAACATCTCAAAATAATAAGAACCGTTCTCAATATTTTGACTTAGTATCACAAAGTCTTTCAGAGGCTGTAGTGGGCTGTTAAAACTATAGGGAAGATAGATACTGGTATATGAAACTAGATTACCTAAAGCATCAGTTGGTACCAGCCACATTGTGCTAACATGGTAAGAGGGCTCAATGACACACCAAAATTGGGTATAGAAAAACTGACCCTTGACCCTCAACCTCAAGATATCGGAATGAAAATGGGTTCTATGGGTACCCACAAGTCTACCCTTGGCAGACATGCCTACAGAAAGCCATGCAGTTTTTGCATGTGGTATAAATGTGTTATTTTTGCATAGTGTATTAAACAGTGTCGGAATTGCATAAATTGGGAGTGACTGGAAACTACCTACCTACTCCAGTCAAAAAAGACTGGAAACAGTCCACAATTTCATTCTTCCTAGGAAAAAATTACCTAACTTTTTCCAATTATGTGTATTGGGCTTTCAATGTCCTATCTCATATATCCACAATTGCATTTTTGATATCTAGAATGAACATTCTGGATATCTGTGATAAAATTATTGTTAATAACTAACTAACTTGTTACGAAAATCAAATATGTCGTATACATATTATAATTCTAAATATCCAAAAATACATTGTGACTAGTAAAAATGCCATTTCAGATATCTACAACTACAATTATGACTAGAAACAATGCAACTGCATTGTAGATATGACACTGATTTAACATAAAAAGCTTTATTTAAAGTTATAACAGTTGGATTGTAGATATCTGAAATTTGAGTTTTTCCTAGCAAGAATTATATTGCATATATCTGCTCCTTCTATATATCTAAAATGCAGTTGTGGATGTGCCCAGTACACATAAATAGCAAAAGTGACATAGTTTCCCTAGGAAGAATGTCATTCACAAGGTTTCATTTCACTTAAACATGGCAGAGTGAAGGAGTGACAGTTGTAGATAAAGTACACATCTTATTCAGTTTATCTATAATAATCATGGATGTATTGGAAGAATGCCAGGATGTTCAAACTGGAATTTAACTGATGCTGATGAGGTGAAAATGTCATTACACTCTTTTTTTTTACTTTCATTGTATTTCTAATGAAGAAGATGATTTTTGATTGTGTGTAGGTCTGTAGGTTTCTGGCTTTTATAATTCAGCCAAATTTAGCACACATATCACCGAAATTATTCATAATTAATTATACTAAACCATGTGATTTTCAGAATACCATAGTTTTAAATTATGCTTGGTATAAAAACACTAGGACTCATCTTGTTATTCTGTCTTTTATATCTATCTATATATATATCTATATATCTATAGATAGATAGATATATATATATATATATATATATAGATATCTATATATATATCTATCTCTCTATCTCTCTCTCTATCTCTCTATCTCTCTCTCTCTCTCCTCTCTCTCTA